GTTTGAATTTAAAAGGTAAAGTTTCTACGCGATTTCAAATAATATCTCACCTTGACTAAGATAGGTCAAATCTGTTCAGCATTTTTAGAGTTTTAGCATACCTAACATAATACTGAGCTCTATTTTTATATGTAAGAAAATATATTAAGTTTAAAAATCAGGAGATACATCAAAAAATTGTATGAATCATCTACAAATTTATTTTATATCCATACCATTCGATGAAATATAACATTCCTTGACATCAAATTGGAGATCTATAATTTCAGATGAATATCCGATATCACAACTGCTGACCGAGGTAAGTATTTGTATTCGAACCTGGAACCAATGGTGGCTAATCTACATTACTAACACTTAGTGTATAAAAATTAAAATATAAATGAAAAATTATAAAAAAAATATCGAAATTATGTAGTGTTTACTGTATCTATATTTCATACTATTTATACATATGATTACATGCAAGAAAAGTTTACAACATGTTTCCAAATATTTAAATTTGAGTAAACAAATATGCTTATTGTTCATTGATTTTTACCACGCTTCTGACTATGAAGTGTCATGTGTCTTTTTAAATAATTCAATTGACTAAATTCCTTATTACATACTTCTTCACATTTATAAGGACTCTCTTGTTTATGAATCACCATGTGCATTTTCAGAAAACCTAAACGTGTAAATGTCTTATTTCATTATATTATATAGTATTGCATTCATGCGGGCGTACTTCGCCGTGTGTCAGCATGTGAATTTTCAGATTATTTAATCCTGTGAATGTCTTTTTGCATATGTTGCATTCATGGGTACGTGCTCCAATGTGTGTCAGAACGTGACTCTTCAGACTGCTTGATCTCGTTAATGTTCTTTTTTTCATATATTGCATGCATGGGGGCGTACATTATGAATGATCATGTGTTTTTTCAGATTACCTAATAGTGTGAATGTCTTATTGCATATACTGCATCGATGGGGTCGCTCACCACTGTGAATAAGCATGTGGCTTTTCAGATTACCTAATTGTGTGAATGTCTTATTGCATATACTGCATCGATGGGGTTGCTCACCACTGTGAATAAGCCTGTGTTTTTTCAGATTACCTAATAGTGTGAATGTCTTATTGCATATACTGCATCGATGGGGTCGATCACCACTGTGAATAAGCATGTGACTATTCAGATTACATAATTGTGTGAATGTCTTATTGCATATACTGCATCGATGGGGTTGCTCACCACTGTGAATAAGCATGTGACTTTTCAGATTACATAAATGTGTGAATGTCTTATTGCATATACTGCATCGATGGGGTTGTTCACCACTGTGAATAAGCATGTGACTTCTCAGATTAAATAAATGTGTGAATGTCTTATTGCATATATTGCATGCATGGGGGCGTACTCCATTATGAATGAGCAGGTGTTTTGTTAGATCACCTGTTCGCATGAATGCCTTTTTGCATATATTGCATCGATGGGGTCGCTCACCACTGTGAATAAGCATGTTTTTTCAGATTACCGCTTTCTGTAAATGTTTTTTTGCATATATTGCATTCATGGAGGCGTAGTACTCCAATATGAACGAGCATGTGCCTTTTCAGATAATTTATTGTTTTGAATGTTTTTTTTGCACGTACTGCATTCATGGACGCACTCACCACTGTGAGTGAGCTTGTGCCTTTTCAGATTACCTAATAGACTGAAAGTCTTATGACAGATTTCGCATTTGAAAGGACTTTCTTTGCTATTATTAGGAATGTGATCGGCCATATGCTCTTTTAAATGATCTGATTCTGCAAATGATCTATTGCAAAGGTCACATTCATAATTTGTTGTCTCAACTAACTCCTGTTTCACTTCTTCTTCAATTGTCACCTCGGAGTTCATGAATCTTTCTAAACACGTATCATCATCTTCGGAAAACGATTCAGATTTAACAATAACGTCGGGATCATCAAAATCATCCTCTATTTCGAGTTTAATGTTTTCTGGTGAATATTCAGGTGGTTCAATTTTAATTGTCTGAGCATTTATAGCTTCCTTCGACATTTTTAAATATTTTCACTACTTATACTCACAAAAAAGAATTACGAAAATAGTTGTGGGCTAAATAATAATCTAGATTTATCAATATTTTTTTTCAATTTGATAAATAATTTCAACTTTTACATTTATTATTTGACATTTGAAGCGTAGAGTTTATTTGTAGTAGTGAGTAGAGAGAGTAGAAACATATTCGCTATTTGTGAAGCATAGATAAACAAGTATGAATAGATGGTATACACCATAGGTGGGGAACCTGCGGCCTCGAGGCTGCATGCGGTCTCCGGGAGGTTCTTGTGCGGCCCCTTGCCGTCTAGTACAAAATAGCAGAGTTACTTTGGTTACTTTCAAACAACTATTGTACATCAACGTCATGACAGTTTCGCGAAAAATCCCACCAAAAACAGTCATATTGTAACATGACATCAGATTATTATATTATTATATTAATATTATTTAATATAAGCAATATTTTCGATTTCGCAAGACATCGCCTATTATATGATTCAAGAAGTATTATAGAAAAAATTAACAGTGCAAAAGAATCGTTAGCACCCGGGTTGAAGATTTTTATGCGTATCCGTAATGAAATGATAAAAATTTATACTTCTCGCAACCGAAAGCAAATCCGCAGCTTTGGCGGAGATCGGAGCAACCAGATTTTACCTAAGTATATTGGCAATTTTATGAGATCATAGTTATAAAATGATACAAACCTTACCTTTTTTCATAAAATACAAAATATATTTTTAAAAACTGCTCTAGGCAAAATATGTGTCCGTATTTATATGCACATGATATATAGAATTTATTTATATTTAAATCTTGAAATATAAATATAGAGTAAGGTATTTGAAATGAGAACAACTCAAATGCAAAATATAAATTAACAATACATTTTGTGTACAATAAGTACATATTTTAATTAAAATCAAATAATACGCTTATTTTCATGGGTAAATATTATTATTCTCTAAATGGAGTAGGTACATCATTTATTAATAATATTTTTTAAATTTAATTCTTAAATGTTGTCAATAGTGTCTAGGTATATTTTTTTGGAAAGAGGTAATGTTGCGTTTAATGCATTAATCATTTTTTTGTTATGATAACTATTCACAAATGACAACAAGCAAGAATATTCATACCGAAAGTTCACAAATGAATTTATCTATGGTAACCCATAGATAAATAACTATAATGACAGTATTTACATTTATAATAATCTAATTGAAAACATTTGATATTCCTCGCCTCGAACCATTGTTATCTTCTGCGCGATCAACATGCATATACAATCAAATTCATAGATAATTAAGCTTGATAAATTATTCGTTCAAAACAAGAAAAAACCGAATATCAAAGATTTTTTTCTTATCGTTAGCGTTTTGTGCGAAAGAATATTCCAAGTTATAGAGTTTGTACGTATTTTATGTGAAAGTGTTAATAATTATAAAATTATGAATCAAGGTAATTATAAAAATAATAATAAAAATATTGTTATATAAATATAAATATATATATATATATATATGTATATATATATATACCCAGTAAGCACGTGATGTTGTAGCAATATTCTATATAAATCCCTGCCAACATCCCCGCTGTGACAATAAACCAACGTGATTTTGATGTTCGTTTAAAATTGCAATTGTGACATACCGATCGGTCGTTTTTTGTGAAGGATGTCAAAAGCTATATTTATATTGAGAGAGAACCGTTACATTAAATTATCTTATATTTTAGAAACTTTAATAATAAGTATACAATTTGTTAACATTTCTAAAGTTTATCCGTTTTACTGCGGCGCGGCGCTTACGCGCTTCGGTATTTTTTCTCTGAAATAGCCGCGTAGCATGATTGCTTTGAAAAAATTCCAAATTTAAAAAAAAAAATTCGAGACAAAAAATATCAAATTTTTCAAAAAAGTCAATTTTTTTTTAAAAAATTCTCAAAAATCTCATTTTTTCAAAAATTTTTTTTAAAAAACAAATCAAATAAAAATCGAAATTACGAACTAATATTTTGATCTCTGTTAAAATTATTAACTTCCCGTAGGGCAAGTTATAGTAATCGCAAAAAAATCGAAAATGAAAATTTTTATATATCTTTACGTTTCAGAGATTTCTGAACATTTTGGCATACCTTAGAAAAAATGGATGTATGTGTGTGTGTGTGTGTGTGTGTGTGTGTGTGTATGTGTGTGTGTATGTATGTACGTGTGTGTATGTATGTGCGTATACAAATTTTCGTCGACGATTTCGGGAACTCGGATCAACCGATTTGAATAATTAAAAAAACATTCGATTTGTATTGATAAGGAGACGTGCTGATTAGTTTTTGGCGAAGGCAGGTCTAGCCGTTCCGAAGATACGGGGCAAAAAGTGCCGAAAACGGTAACTCAGTTTTTGAGAGAACGGAGCGTCCGATTTAAATAATTCAAAAAACATTTCACTTGTATTGACATGATGAAGAATCGATAAAATTTTCATAAAGGTAGGTCTAGTGGTTTAGGAGATATGGAGAAAAAAGTAAAAAAATTAGCCATTTGGCGGTCAAAAATGATCATTAGACATATCCACATCAAATTATCAGATATTTTATAGAGATTTTAACAATAAGTATACATTTTGTTAACATTCCTATGGGTTCCGTACCAATGCTTATGCGTTAGACAGCGACGCGGCGCTTACGCGCTTTATATTTTGTCCCTATGCAGTTAAATCAGTACGATTGCTTTGAAAAAAAAGTTCAGATCTTTCACAATATGTCAAAATAAAGAAAAAAAAATTTTTTTTTCAAAAAAAAAATTAAAAAAAAAAATATTTTTTTTTTAATTTTTTTTTTTCAAAAAAAAGTAATTTTTTGTCCATATATATAGTTTCTCAAAAATCTTATTTTTTCAAAGTACATTTTTTTTAAAATGTTAATCGTTTTTAAAAATTAATAATTTTTGGTACGGGAAGTTCCAGCAATTTGCCTTAAGGCACGATGCCTTAATTGCCTTAAGACAGAATTCCACTTACAGCTAGTTTTAATTTAATAAATGTTCAAGTATAAATAAATAAAAAAAAAACAAGTATTGCTCGAAATGCTTCTACTGATGGCGCAAGGTTTGAATAGAAATGCTCAAAAATAATTTTTTATCCGCAAATATATATTTTTAACTTCCCGTATGGTAAGTTATTGTCATGGGCCGAAAATCGGAATTGAAAATTTTTACATTTCTCGACGTTTTGAAGGTTTCTGAACATTTTGGCATACCTCAGAAAAAATGGATGTGTGTGTGCGTGTGTGTGTATGTATGTATGGATACAAATTTCCAGTCACGTTTCCGGGCAAACGAATCAACCGATTTGAATGGTTCAAAAAGCATTCGATTCCTATCGATAGGGAAAAGAGCTGATTAGTTTTTGGCAAAGGCAGGTCCAGCCGTTTCGAGGATACGGAGCAAAGAGTGCAGAAAATAGAAATCGACTTTTTGAGAGAACGGAGTATCCGATTTGAATGATCTAAAAACATTCAATTAGTAATGATTGGGAGAAGTGTTTATTAGTTTTTGACAAAGGCAGGCCCAGCCATTTCGAAGATACGGAGCTAAATATGTAAAAAATGGCAGTTTTTGAGAGAACTAAGCGTCCGATTTGAATGATTCAAAGAACTTTCTGCTTGTCTTAACAAAATAATTGATTTTGGAAAAAAAATTTTTGTTTCATTTTTTTTTTTTTTTATTATAATTTTTTGTAAATAATTCAGATTTTATTTTTAATTCTGACTATAGTTCTAAAATACTTTAAACAAATAATTTCAACTTTGCAATTCAGTTTATATAATTCTTATAAATATTAGACAATGTTACAATATTTATAATAATCTATTTGAAAACATTCAGTATTCCTCGAACATTTCGTTATGGTACGGGAAGTTTCAGCAATTTGCCTTAAGGCACGATGCCACCCACCCCACTAGTTAATAATCTAATCATAAACAAAATATTATCAAAAGATGCTTTGTTCTAATTCTATTTGTTGTTTGGAATAAATATCAAATATTAAATGAATAACTTGTGAATTTTGTGAATTTGTTATGTGCACTACTGTGGTACAGGAACAGTAGGATTATCTAGGATTAAAGATGGCCGGTTGTCAACAAAGGGTGTTTGTGCTTTATCTTGTTAGTAAACTTAGCATTGAAATAAAATGGAAAAGTAAGTACATCATATATATAACTATATTAATTTATCTATATTAATTTATTTAACGTTTACTTAACTTGATATTTGTATGGTATTATGAAAGATACATGAACGATGCGTCAAATGAAGAGGTTAGCAAGAGCACGCCGCTGTATTGTCATAGCAAAATGATACTGAAGATATAAATCCAGTCAATTTTACAAGATCAAACACATGATGATATTTGGGATCGTTTCGTGAAGATTGATGGTTCAAAATAATGCATTCGGAGTTAATCCCACTTGTTAAATTTGTGGATAAATTACAGTCACTGAAGATGGGGACTAGTCTTTAATTTGTAAGTCTCTTGTACTATATGTATATATATATATATATATATATATATATATATATAACATTTTCTAATAGATACATATTAGGTTCATTCTTTTAGAAAATCTTCACGTATAATGAAGTGCGATGAAACGGTAGTGAGATGAGACAAGTCATATACTTTTTTGCCCTAGGAGCAGATGGCAGATCTTAGAAGTTATTTTAGTCAAGCCAATATTTGAAGAGTACAATTGTAAATAGGTCAAGACTAGAGAATGATATAGGTTCAGAAATTATATCTGTTCCATGTACAGTAGAAACTCGTTTACCCGGCTTTCGGTTATGCAAACTACAAACTACGAGCAATTTATATATACATGCAAATATTCAACTTGCACATACACACAAGTTTATAGGATTTTAGTATATGTATGTAATGTAATCTAAGAAAATATATATGTACATTCGAAAGAAAGTGTTTCTTAATAAACACTATTTTTGTTGTTGTCTATGTATGTACTTGTTATTTTTAATAAATACAGAACATAATTCTTAATACATTCGATTATCTGGATTTTTGATTTGCCAAATGCCTATTGACAACAATTAGTCCTGTAAATTGAGTTTCTACTGTATAAGTAATTCCTCAAATATGTACAAAAATTTGTTATACATAAGATTACACATTGCTGTTATATATATATATATATATATATATATATATATATATATATATATTATATTATTAAAGTTTTTCAGCCACAGGTCGAAAAAAGAAAGAAAGTAAATGCAAAATCTTCTTTAATTTACTTTTTTTAAATATTTTTTGATTTACTTTTTTTTCATAAACATATTCAAAGTCATATTATATATATATATATATATATATATATATATATTATAATAATAAATTGTTAGTGCTTATTAATTTCTCATTTTACTAAATTTATATTATTTTATAGAACTAGAAGAATTTTTGATATTATCTAATGGAGCCGTAGGAGTTCAAGATCCTGTTTGGACTGTTGAGCGAACAGCATTTTTAATACAATGTTTTAGAAAATTTAATGTTTTAGAAGGCTAAGTGGATTGTGATAAAAGATGACATGAATATTAAATTTGGCACTACCTTTACGGAAGGCAATATTGAGATTCGTTGAAGAGTTCCTCAACAAAATTATAAAAAATATGTTGACAGACAAGCTACTGGTACGAATAATGATGTAAATATATAAAATAATTTTATACATATTAACAATTATGTCTAATAGGGCAAGGAAATTTCAACTTCCAGTATGCAAAAGAGTTTGATGAAATATATGGCGCAATAGCCACAATATGAATCCAATCTGCATACTGGAAACAAGTGATGTTCATGAAATAGAAAATAATGCAGAAGCACGGGATGATAGTGCATATGAAGTTAGAGAAAATATTGCAACTTCAAGAAGAAGGCAGCGCCGTAGAAGACAAACAATATTAGAGAAAATGAGAGAAGACAGGTTGAAGTTCCAAGAACGAATAATACAAATCGAAGAAGCAAAATTAGAAATACTAAAACAAAAATATGGAATGCTTTAAAATAAAATATTCATAAATTTTTATTAAATATAATAAATAAATCATTATCCAATATAAATGCCTGATTTTAATTTATTAATTCATTTAATTTTTCTTCAATACAGAACATTCACAGAATAATACATTATAAGTACTTAACAAGAGCCAGAAATAATATTTTATCCCGTCCCCCATAAATAATTGTAGTGCAAATGATCGCAAATAAATAATGAAACTAAGGAAAAATCTGCGCTGCATAAGAAATGATAGCTTTGGCTATGTATGTTTTATCTGTGATCGACTTTGGCTTCAAAGTGACTTGGAAATATCAAATGATTCTCAAAAACAAATTCTTAATAATGTTTTTTAACTTCCCGAAGGAGAAGTTTATGTTTTCATCAAAAAATCCGAATCGCTAATTTTATGTTTTCTCGACGTTTCTAGCCATTCTGAATCGAATGAGACCAAATTTGGAAAAAGTATGGGTGTGTGTGTGTGAACAGATTTTTTGCCGTAAATCGACGTTTTCTCCAAAACGGTTGGACCGATTTCAAAAATTTAAAAGCCATTTGATGTATCTCGATGAGGACTATCGTCTCTGAGTTTTGTGCGGCGATCGGCCGGGCCGTTTCTTTGTAAATTGCAGAAAAGTGAAAAATTTTTCGTCCACGTTTTAGCCCGCAATTCTGAATCGATTCTGAAAATTCAAAAACCGCTCGATAGATATTGGTTGGGAATCGTGCTGATTAGTTTTTGGTAAAGATCGGCCGGGCCATTTTCTTGTAATAAAGTTTTTAAAAAAAATTTTTTGACGATTTTTATGATTATTTTTTTGACGAAAGATACCATAGTTTTCTAGGTCATACTAAAATATTACGGCCCTACGACAACTGGTTCAGCTTTAAAAATTCGTCAAAGTTTGCAAAAATCAGTATGGTCTTTTTGGCATTTGTCAAAATTAGACTTTTGATCGACGTTTTCTCAAAAACGCCTGAACCGATTTTGGAAATTTAAAAGCCATTTGATGTATTTCGGTGAGGACTATCGTTTGTCAGTTTTGTGCTACGATCTGCCAAGCCGTTTCTTCGTAATTTGAAAAAAAGTGTTGAACTTTTCGTCCACATTTAAGCTCATCCTACCGAACCGATTTTAAAAAATCAAAAACTGTTCGAAAGATATTAGTTGGGAATGATGCTGATTAATTTTAGGTGAAAATCTACCGAGCCGTTTTCTTGTAATTAACTGTTGAAAAAAAGTGTTAAATTTTTGTCCACATTTAAGCTCATCTTACCGAACCGATTTTAAAAAATCAAAAACTGTTCGAAAGATATCATTTGGGAATGATGCTGATTAATTTTAGGTGAAAATCTACCGAGCCGTTTTCTTGTAATTAAATGTTGAAAAAAAGTGTTAAATTTTCGTCCACATTTAAGCTCATCCTACCGAACCGATTTTGAAAATCAAAAACTGTTCGAAAGATATCATTTGGGAATGATGCTGATTAAGGTTTTAGGTGTTAAAATTTAAGCTCATCCGAGCCTGTTTATCATTTGTGATGCTGATTAATTTTAGGTGAAAATCCACCGAGCCGTTTTCTTGTAATTAACTGTTAAAAAAAATTTAAGCCGTTTTTCATGGAACTTTTTTTGGCGATATACATCATGGTCTTATAGAACTTACTGTAATATTACGGCCTTACAACAAATAGTTTAATTTTAAAAATTTGTCAAACTTTGCTAAAATTATTATTGTTTTTTTTAAAGTAAGATTGATGAAGTATATTATTTACACATTTTTTTGATCAAGTCGATTATTTACACATATCAGGAAGTTCATGTAATTTGCCTCAAGGCTAAATACCAAACCAACTGGTTATCTATGATATACAGGTAGTCAAGTGGATGTCGTTCACTCGTAGCTTAAGGGTAAATAATAAATAATAACTGATACTCACCAAGATATTCTTCATTTTTTGGAACTTGAACAAACTCTAATGGCCCGTCTCCACTGCACAAACGCGCACGGCGAATCCCGTTTTTGACAGGCGCGTGGTTTTCTTTTACTTGCAAAATTTCTGTCTGCGCACTTTGCGAACAGATTCGCCGTACAAATTCGTGCAATGGAGACGGGCCATAATAAATCTAACTCCTCCTCATCGTTCTGCAACAAATCATAAAAAAAACTCGTTGTCACTCATTATGTTAAACTCTCTCCATAAAACACATTAAACATTTCATTTACTTAAACTGAGCAAATAAACAGAAACACGAAACGAACTATACCGAAGACATGCGAATGAACTCTCGGCAATTTCGTCGCGTTCGATGAAAACCGTCTTGTCAAACCGTTGGAAACTGTCATGAGATGGCGCATGCGCAGTGTAACAAATCAGAATGAGTTTGGAAGAGTTGTGGATCGTCACAAACTGCCACTCCGAACAAACCCATTATTGCCAACCGTAGAAATTACTACACTACAATAATAGGCATAGATAAATAAACATAAATAGATCGCTATCTCAGGCCATTTGACGTTACCTCCATTTTAATTTATACAGCGATCTGAAGAAGGCAGCACTTGTACAGTATATAAATTAAAAGCTGCTAGTATTTCTAGATATGGTTCGTATACATAATTGAAAATAAGAAAACCTAAATAATTTCATGATGATAATAGGCGTCGGGAAAAAAGAAAGCAAATTAATAAGAGTTTGCTGTAAACTAATATTTGTTTTGGTGTAAACTGTAAAACGTGCATTTTTAGTAAACATTTGTTATAATTCATATTTCTTACGGTAAGAATAATGAAATTCAAAATTGAAATTTTGTTTGCTATTACTAATATGCTTTATATTTACTGTCAGGATGGATATTCAATGAGAAAAATATGAAATGGGTTTAGAAAATAATTTATTTCTTATAGCTTTGGTGTATATCGTACTACAGTTGATACTTTCTGCATATTCTATGGTCAACTTGGCAAGCAATTTAAGCACATAAGTGCACTTATTGTATTTCTCAATTTGGTTGCAGGGCTACTAAAACTAGTTTCGCAAATTAAATCATTATAAAAGACAAGTTATGAAAGGTATGAAGTGTGGACACATTATTTACTACCCTGCCAGTGAATAGAGTTGACAAAATTATGTCAAAGCAATTTAAGAAGTGTACTCGAAAACCAGAGTTTTATTTCATTGTCTTGAGATTGAGATTAACACTCGACATAATATTGACTGTGCAGCCTACACATACTTAAATTATTGAAAAAATGTGTTCAATAAAATGTGTTTTTTTTAGCAACAATATAAATATTGCTATAAAAATACTTATATTTAATCATATCTGTAATTTGTGAATGGTTGCACTCTAGATGGCTTTATTTCGGTTGTTAGTGAAGTGGGCTTAGGCAGAATCACTGACACCCAACTGTACTTTCGGACATAATAAAAAAAATTAAATCTGGAGATGCTGTATTAACTGACAAAGCTAAATAAAGTAAAAAAAGACAAAGTTTTTAATTGTACTTCATATGATTTGCATACTAGTTTTTCAGGACTAATATGTTGAATAAATGAAAATAATTTAATAAATATAAAAGTACTTTCCATGAGGTTATATCGGGTTATATATTATAAACAAATTAAATTCATTATGTCGTGTTAAAGTAGTTGTTAGTCAAATTATATTATATCGAGATAGAATTATTCAAAATATGTTTGAAACGGTATATTTATAATTATTTCGTTATTTATCTTTACTTTATTAAACAATTACATACAATATGCTTTTAACAGTAACAAACATGAAATGCCCACAAGAAAAGGTTTTTAAGATTGGATAGTCGGCAAATGCGAAACTTTTTTTAAACGCTTTCTTACAGGACGTATTCCACAATGTACTCCTTTTACATGTTGTCTTAATGCATCTAGTATTGGAAAAGCTTTATTGCAAATTCCACAACTATAAGGACGTTCCCCAGTGTGAATCATTTTATGTCGACTTAATGATGGTTTCGCTGTAAATGTTTTATTGCATATTTCACAACTATAAGGACGCACTCCGGTGTGATAAATCTCATGTAGTCTTAATGATCTTTTTGTTGTGAATGTTTTATTGCATATATTGCACTTATGGGGTCTCTCTCCAGTGTGAATTGCTTTATGTTGTTCTAAATACTTCTTTATTTTGAATGCTTTATGACATATTTCACAACTGTAAGGAAGTTCTCCAGTGTGAATCATTTCATGCTCTTTTAAATGACACTTTATTTTGAATGTTTTATTGCATATTTCACAACTAAAAGGAGGTCCTTCAGTATGCTTTGATGATTGATGTTTTCCAGTATGAATCTTTTTATGTGTGTTTAATGATGTCCTTCTTGAAAATGTTTTTTTGCATATTTCACATTCATAAGGTCGTTCCTCAGTGTGAACAGCTTCATGTTGTTTTAAATATCGTTTTGTTGCAAATGTTTTATGACATATTTCACAACTGTAAGGACGTTCTCCAGTGTGAATCATTTTATGTTCTTTTAAATGACACTTTATTTTGAATGTTTTATTACATATTTTGCAACTAAAAGGTCCTTCAGTATGCTTTGATGATTGATGTGTTCCCGTATGAATCTTTTTATGTGTGTTTAATGATGTCTTTCTTGAAAATGTTTTTTTGCATATTTCACATTCATGTCTTTCCTCAGTGTGAACAACTTCATGTTGTTTTAAAGTTCGTTTTGTTGCAAATGTTTTATGACATATTTCACAACTGTAAGGACGTTCTCCAGAGTGGATTTTTTTATGTTCGCTTAAATTTCCACTAAATGTGAATGTTTTATTGCATACTTTACATTTGTAAGATCGTTTTTTAGTAAAAATGATAGCTTTATGTTCATTTAATGATGCTTTTGTTTTGAATTTTTTATTACATAAATCACAAGCATAGGGCTTTAGATTATTGCTAAAATTACTTAAATTACTGATTTCTTCAGTAAATATGTAAGGTTTTTCATCTAAACTTGTATTAGTTGCAGCATCATGCCCATTGATTTTTTCTTGCTTCATTTCCTCATCAATCGTAACCTCAGATTTTAGAAATTGCTGTAGGCATATTTCATCATTCTCCATACTCATATGTGATGTGCATTCATAATCATAAAATTTTTGTTTCACTTGAAAATCTTGCTCATCGATACTCTCTTGCTTTATATCCTCATCAAGAGTAACCTCTGAATTCAGAAATTGCTGTAGATAAATTTCATCATTCTCCATACAAATACTTGTGGTGTTTTCATAATCATCTAAATCTTGTTTAACTCGAGAATATTCGATCGTTTCAATTTTAATTGTTGTGTTTGAATTTGTTTCTTCAAACATTTTTGACGTTTGAAGGTTATTGTAAAGATGTCTGCTCAAAAGTCGAAAAGCTTTAATTTATGCGTTATGAACATATAATAAATATATTTTGATATTTATTGATTCGTTTGTATTTTAATATGTTATAATTCTAACACTGACCTGTTTATTATTATTTTATATTTTCGTTTGCCTCATTTACGCACTTTCACAATTTGACATTTCTTCTTCGTTTTCTATGACGTTTCTACTGATTGGGCAACACCAACACATTTCAACTGCGAATTAAACGGCGCAAAAATTTGAAATTATATATTATATAGTTAAATGGAAAAATATTAGATTTTAGTCTGATATTAGTTTAAAATTATTAACTTCCCGTAAGTTATAGTAATCGCAAAAAAAATCGAAAATGAAAATGTTTATATATCTTTACGTTTCAGAGGTTTTTGAATATTTTGGCATACCTTAGAAAAAATGGATGTATGTGTGTGTGTGTGTGCGTGTATGTGTGTGCGGATACAAATTTTCGTCGACGATTTCGGGAACACGAATGAAGCGATTTGAATAATTCAAAAAATATTCGATTTGTATTGATAAGGAGACGTGCTGATTAGTTTTTGGCGAAGGCAGGTCTAGCCGTTCCGAAGATATGGGGCAAAAAGTGCCAAAAACGGTAACTCAGGTTTTAGGAGAACGGAGCGTCCGATTTGAATAATTCAAAAAACATTTTACTTGTATTAACAAGATAAAGAACTGATCAAATTTTCATAAAGGCAGGTCTAGCGGTTTCGGAGATCTAGTGAAAAAAGTAACAAAAAATGCCATCTGGCGGTCAAAAATGATCATTAGGCATATGCACATCAAATTATCAGATATTTTATAGACATTTTAACAATAAGTATAAATTTTGTTTACATTCCTATGGATTCCGTACCAATGCTTGACCGTTAGACGGCGGCGCGGCGCTTACGCGCTTCGATATTTCGTCTCTATGCAGTTAAAGCAGTACGATTGCTTTGAAAAAAAGTTCAGAATTTTCAAAATATTCCAAAATACACTTTTCTTCAAAAAGTCTTTTTTTCAAAAAAAAGTAAACTTTTGTCAAAAATTTATAGTTTCTCAAAAATCTAATGTTTCAGAGTAAATTTTTTTCAAAAATGTTAATCTTTAAAAAAAAAAATTTTTGGTACGGAAAGTTCCAGCAATTTGCCTTAAGGCACGATGCCATGCCCCACTAGTTTAAAATTTTATTTTTATTGAATCATTTAATGTTGGATTTCCCAAACTCTTGAGAATGCTTTGATAAACTAAGAATAAGATATGGTATACCTATAGAACACATTGTTTTAAACATAAAGTGCTCAATCATAGAACGGACTGTGACGTCACATGTCTGAGCGAACATAGCTGACGACAATCGCGGACTCTCTCGATTGATTAAATGTCATATGTCATATGTTTTATTTTAATTATATAAAGGCAATTGTGATAACTAATGATTTTGTAAGAAATGGTATTAATAATATTTATCATAATAGTTAATTTAGTTCAAATATTTGTGATAGTTTTATTTTAACTAGTTGAAAGTGGCAAGGCATTTAGCCTTAAGGCAACTAAAATTGAGATTTAGATATTTATATAAAAATTTCAACTATTTATTTTGAAACTACAGTTATCGCTTTAAATTAAATCTAAACGCGATTGAGAACAGAATTTTTACAAACACATTTAAATTATTTCTAATTATGTTAATTATATATTGCACGGACAGGTGCTTGTACGCCCTAAAATTGTAGCTCATTATTCAACATTTTAATGAATTGACGATGTTTGACTCATCACATCACAAAAGCAACTTTTGACACAAATTTTTAATATAATATTTTTTTAAACTTTGATGAATTTTTAAAATTAAAATAACCTGCAGTGGGTGCGTAAAATTTTAGTATGTTGTTCAGAATCGTGATATCTATCAACCTAAAAAGTTTCATAAAAAAAAAAAAAATTAGCAGTTATTTACGAAGAACGGGCTCGGCCGATATCTGTCCAAAACTAAGTAGGACAATTCAGGATTGTGAGCTAAAACGTGGACAATTTTATGCAAATTACAAAAAAACTGCTTATCAAGATACATCACATGGCTTTAACTTTTTTGAAATCGATTCAGGCATTTTAGAGAAAACGTTGATTAAAGGTCTAATTTTGACAAACGTCAAAAAACGCGATTTTTTCTTTTAAACTTTGACGAATCTTTACCAAAAACTAATCAGGTTTGTCCTACTAATATATCTTACCAACGGTTTTTGAATTTTCAAAATCAATTGCAAGCTAAAACGTGGACGAAAAAATTTTCACTTTTCTGCAATATATAAAGAAACGGCTCAGCCGATCGTAGCGCAAAACGCTGAATTCTGAAATGTTAAATAAATTCGAATCCATCTGTTGAAATCGGTTCATATATTATATGGCCTATGTTAGACACGTAACATATAACGTTTGATCAACCGAGAGCTTCCACGATTGTCGTCGGCAATGTTCGCTCAGACATGTGACGTCACATACCCTTTTATGTTTGAGCACAACGGAAAACACACGGTATTCTAACGAACACGGGATATTCTAACCCCTAGGGGAAAACATATGAGAACTAGCAGTCCATGTAGTGTAATGTAAATGCACTTCATATGCACGGTTACACAAAACCAAAACACAACAAAGTACTTCTGACGAGCATTTGTTCCAAAATATATTATCAAGTTTAATATCAATCAATTATCTGTTATTAATGCAGAAGTTAAAAATCGTCCTAATAGGACCTCCTCAGTCCGGAAAATCTATGATAGCCAACTCTTTGTCCGAGGTGAACGAGAACCTAGAAATCTATCCGACACAAGGTTGTTGAATCGTCGAATTCGATTTAAATGACATCTACGTCAACCAGAAGTCGACCAACGGATTGATCGAACTCTGGGACTGCAGTGGCCAACACAAATTCAGCAACTGCTGGCCAATTATCAGGCACATGGCTCAAGGAGTCGTCCTGGTGCACACCGAGTACAACCAGGAGACCCAACAGGAGTTGGATTTGCTTTATAATTACTTTGTTACCCAGAATGGACTCAGTGCCAAGTGTTGTCTGGTTTTTAACCATACTGGGGATAGAGTTGGTAAATTGGGTTCCAGTTTTTTGAGGATTTCTCAGGTCAAAGTCGATTTGGCGGAAGTCGAGGTGCTGAAGAAGGATTTTTCTGAGTTTATTAGATCTTCGTTGCAAGAGCAAAGTGGGATAAAAAATTATACAGGGATGTATAATAACAAAATAAGATAAATTGATGCATATTAATAAATATATAAAATAGACGTGATGATCAGAATAAAATTGTATTTTTTTTTAAAAACTTGTAAATAGTAATTATAATTAGTATAAGTAATTAGTTATTAATTAGTAAAAATAAACAATTAGTTAATCTTGGTGTTAAAAAAGAAAATTCTAATAATCCATTAAATCACGATACGGTATGCAATACACTATCTAATATAAACATTAAACTTACACAAACTACAAGCTTGTAATTAAACAATATTTCAGAAAATACTAAATGAATTATTTAGTTATTTATTTAGTTAGAATTATTTATTTTCTAGTATTTAAAAATACTAGAAAATAAATGTAAAGATATTGACAGACAGCTACGTACAGGCATTGAGCACTACAGTACACTATTGTAACATCAAGCTATCAATATTTCAAACATTCAAAACTAAATGTGATTTAACATTGAAAAACTAGATTTCTCTACATTGTTATTGTTATAAGACTGAACACTGAATGAATTGTCTTTACAAAGAATTTTTTTTAAATGTGCAAAATTGTAAAACATTTGGTTTTGGAAAGTAATAATGAAAGTAACACTCTTCATTCAGTATTTAATGCTGTTTGAAAATTGGTCGAGAAATATCTTGGAATCATTACAAAGCAAATAGCTGTCAAGTCTCTTATTAATTTCTAAATTGTTTAACAATATTAGACAACCTTCACCAGTGGCGTAACTAGACCCTCCGGGGCCCGTGGCAAAGTCTTCCGATGGGGCCCCATCGTGGTACTCAATGTTTAATTTATCTAATTTTGTTTAATAAACGTTAATAGTCATTTACACGCTGTTTTACTACTGGGTAAAACAATTGTTAATGAATTTTATCACAATTAGCAAACCAACTTCGACTAATTTATATTTTATGGCTTTAAATTATGAAATTATACAAAAGGCAGAAGAGTCAAGTATTGATTTAGAGGTATAATTATAATTTAGTTGTAATAATATAAAAATAACAAAAAATACATAAAACTTAATTTTTCTTGAAAATCAAACATGAAATATTAGTGAATATATTCAACGTTAAAATAAATAGAAATTAAAAAACGTATTTCTTTAATAAAAAATTAAAACAAATACCATTTTCCTAAATTTAATTATTACATAATCTTCGATTAACAATTTCTTCTTTTAATTTTATTGATTAAGTAGTGACGTTCGATCTTTATGAAAATTTATGGTTTAACTAGTTGGTATTGGTAATTAGCCTTGCGGCAAGTTACATGAACTTCACGATATGTATAAATAATCGACTTAATCAATAAAATATAAATTAATTTATGAGTAATTAAAAGTATTCCGAGTGGATTTATTATACATAATTGAAAACGAACGAACACGTTAACTCGGAGTATTCTTTAAAAGCTTATAAATTTCTGAAAACGATTCAGGCGTTTTTGAGAAAACGTCCATCAAAAGTATAATTTTGACAATTGCCAAAAGAACGATACTAATTTTTGCAAACTTTGAAGCATTTTTAAAATTAAACGACTTGTCATAGGTCCGTAATATTTTTAGTATGATCTACAAGACTTTGATTATGACAAAAAAAAATCATAAAAATCGTCGTAATTTTTTCTTTTTAAACTTTATTACAAGTAAACGGCCCGGCCGATCTTTACCAAGAACTTATCAGCACGATTCCCAACCAATATCTATCGAACGGTTTTTGAATTTTCAAAATCGATTTAGAATTGCGGGCTAAAACGTGGAAGGAAATTTTTTCATTTTTCTGCTATTTACAAAGAAACGGCCCGGCCGATCGTCGCTCAAAACTCAGAAACGCTAGTCCTCATCGAGATACATCGAATGGCTTTTAATTTTTTTGAAATCGGTCCAGCCGTTTTTGAGAAAACGTTGATTTACGGCAAAAAAT